TAGAGTGTGTGTATATGTGTGTCATGGATAAGATTATAAATCTATTCATATTACTGTCTACTCAATTATGTTCTATAATCCTGTCCCCCCCCCACCGTCCAGCCCTCTCCTCCTCTATCTCGTCCCTCGTCTTCAATCGAAACAGATAGTCAAATGAAGTGAGGTAGTAATATTGTCATGTACTGGAATTATTGAAGAGTTATTGAACCTAAGATTTACTTCGAGTTTGCCTTCTATATGTTGTTGGTCTCCCTGAGTTCTGTTGTTTAAGATGTGTATTTAAGAGAGGTGTTTGAAATTGCCAAAGGGTTGTGCGATCTATTTGATTGTCACATATATTGGCCATGCATTATGTGAGGACATGAAAGTGTTGAATCCATTACGTTCGAAACTAAATCCTTAAAAATAAGGTCGATGATTGTTCGTAGGGCTTGTTAAAGTACATATATATTTAGTACTGCACTATGTAAATATAATATATGTACTCGTGCTGCCTATATTTACAAAACAAATGAATAAAAAAGTGTGGGCACTGAGCAGCATAAAATACGATCGTTTCATTTAAATATTTTTCACCCATATTTACATATAAAAAAGCATTCTAAATACTTTTTGTTGGTTTGTTTTTCTTTAAAAACGTTTTTGAGAACGATAAATACTATTACATATATACGCCATCACATTTTATTATTATACATTATTTATGGGCCTATGGCCTTCTAAATCTAAAATCTATTTTGGTTTTTTGTTTTATTTATTTTGAAACAAAATCGAATATAAAGTATTCAGGACACTCCGCGTACGGAGATAGCAAATATTTTGTATTATATATAAAATAAACTATTAAAAAACTGTAAAGCAAAACAATGAAATATATTTACTCGATCTACGCCGGCTTTTTAGTTTTTACACTTGTCTACCACTCTTTAATCTCCATGAGACTCTGTTTATTTGTAAAAAAAAGGTGGCAAGTGTGTAAAATCACATTCTATTAGTTTGCAAGCAGCAGGCATGAAGTTCCACGCAGCTTATTTATTTTTTACTTCAACGCTGTGTAAACTATAATCAATCTAATTCACCAGTTTCGCAATACTATTATGATGACTTCATGTATCGAAATATTGAATATTAACGAAATACTATATATACTGCATTTCGCACGAATGTCTTGGTACTTCTTACTTTTCGGAGTTTGAGAGTTCTAATACCAAATTTATAAAGAGAACAGGCTATACAATGGTTGTAATTAAAGTGCTCGCCACGTTCTTCTGCCTTGCAGCGAGCGCGACAGGTCAGGCAGATCCTGCTATTGCCGATCCAGTTACCACGCTCGGACTGAGTACGCTGATCTTAAGTACCACCAGCTATAGTGCCATACTGCCCAAAAATATTCTGGAAGGTTATGGAGCACCTCATGATGTATACACAGGATTAATTCCCGACATGTCTGAGGACAAGTGGCACTCCATTGTCATTGCTGACGGCTCGGTAGACCCTACTCTGGCACGGGATTATGCAAAACGAACGTCAGCTCGCATTGTAATTTTAGAGACATTCCCCCGCTCCACAGACCATGAAGCTTTTGGTGTGCGGTCACTGTCAGTAAGTGCGCATAACGCAAATTTAACCGTAGTAGACAGTCCCGAAGCACACAAGTTGGCCGGTGTAGTGAACAAAATCGGTTCATGGAACCTGACTGAAGCAGTACCGCGTGCTGTGATCATTTCTGACCCAAGCAAAGCGACTGGTTTCCTACGTTACGATGTTCCAAAGAGCCAAATGATGGGTGCTTATGTCACGGACACAAGCTACGGTACGCAAGAGATGCACTTCACATTTCAAAACTTCCTTGTGGGACTTTCTGAAGACTTCATGCCAAGTTTCTACATGCCTGACGAATTTACACAGGCTAATTTGGCTTTTGGTCATGCTTGGATGGAATGGGTCACTCGTGGCGTTTACTTGGGATACAGAAGAGCGACGCTGAACATACACATCGACGATTGGTACATTCAGAGTCGATTATACGATACCGGAGAGACATTCCGATTGGATAGCAATGATGTGGAAACGTATGTGGCATGGCGTGATAGACTACATACAAACTTACCAAACGGTAGCGATATCAAATTCGAGCCAGCGTACAATGCGGCCGGAATCTCAATGTTCGGCATACCTGCATCTGATGGCTTGGTGTCCGCCACAGCAAAATACGCGGATCAGTTTTACTGGGTGAGTCATACATTCACACATATGAACATGGATAAGCTTGACTCAGTCCAGTGCACCAATAATGAAACAGTGTGCCGACCCGACGCTGCTATATACGACGCGGAGTTAACCTACAATCAGAAGGTGGCAAGAGGCGAGCCCCTCTACAGTGATGATATGATACCGCTCTACAAACTCAATCCGGGAACTGAGCCGGGCCAATTTCTCAATAATAATACGGATCTGTTGAAAAATAACTATTCGCCTCATGCACTAGTTACCCCGGAAATCTCAGGTTTGTGGCCGGCTGAATATACTGGCACTCCCCCTCCTGGAAGAGAACCATACCTCAGAAACAAGGAATTCTTTGACGCTCTGATCAGGAATGAGATCTACAATCTGGTTGGTGACAACAGTCGAGCCGAGTTAAACGTGGCCAATATATACCACGCCGTGGTCTCGACCGTAGAACAGTACGGGCAGGACGGTGTGATTCTGGTACCAAGATGGAGTCCCAATGTGGCATTCTCTTGCAACTCCTACGCTTGCCTGGAGAAATTCTACGCGGACGGTGCGTGTGCATGGGTACTATACGGACCACCATGTCCAGACGAACCAATGTCTGGACCCGAAATTGTGATAAGAGAGGGTAAAATCACCACCATTCCGCTATTGCAGCTAAGGTGGGACCCATACATGTTCCACCAGGCCAACATGCATGAGGTAGAGTACGATAATGGAACTGCTCCGTTGGTTGGTGCTTACACAGAAGAAGCCGTGCGCAACTTCCAACGTTTTGTGGACGGACTCCCCCTCATTTCATATCCTTTGGATGTACTCGCCGGAATGTACCGCAGACGTATGGCTCGCGATTTATGCAACGTCGAGGGTCACATTGAGTTCGATGCCGCCGGTAACCCAACTGGCGTGACAGCTACTGGTACAGGCTCGTGTGAGGTCGTATTGACCCTCTCAGATTCGTCTAATATGACTTTTGGCGCCAATGAGACCACCGTTCGGTATGGCCCAGATGTGAATGTGTTCAAGAACATCACAGCACCTGCGGGAGTGGATGCCACGGTCAGTATACTCACACCACCCGGCACAACTATGAAGAAGATGTTTGCTCGTAGACGCGCTAAGGAAGACATAGAGATTGCTCCAAAGGTTGAAAAATTGGAAAATGATGACATTGGGTCAGAGGAAGTGAAACCCGAGTCTGAGAAGAAAACTGAGGAGAAGGATACAGAAGACAAGAAGGAATCCGAGGAGGAGAAGAAGGCTGAGGATAAGGAGAAGTCTGAAGAGAAAGCTACAGAAGACAAGAAGGAATCCGAGGAGAAGAAGGAGGCTGAGGATAAGGAGAAATCTGAAGAGAAAGCTACGGAAGACAAGAAGGAATCCGAGAAGACGGAGGAGGCTGATAATAAGGTGGAGTCTTGGGATAACAAGGAAGCCGAGGATAAAAAGAAATCTGAGGAGGATGAGACTAAGTCTGACAATGAAGCTGAGACAACCCCCGCCAAGGAGGGGCAGTCTGATGCTACGCAACCCGAGTCCGGGGCCGATGAGACAAAGACTGAGACATCCGCTGACAAGGACTCGAACTTTAAGAACGAGACTGTGGTAGCAGCCAACAACACGACGCCTGAAACATCGGAGAAAACGGACTCTGAAGGCCAATCCGACGAAGGTACGGCGGCCGATATGAGTAAAGTGGAAGTTCTGACTGCACCGGTACCCGCACAAGACACGCCTGCGGATGCGATAGATGCAGCCGAGGACATCGACATGATACCCATCAGCTTCCAACTTTCTGGAGTCTGGGCAAGCAGTGCATCGAATTGAGAAGTGCAGTTGATGTCCGAATTATCATTCACTTCCTCAACGAGTAGGTTGACTTTTATACATTTGCCGTGATTATAATCTCGTACGGCCCCGGACATGAAGAAAAGGATAGCAGCTTAGTCTGCATTCAGTAGTCTCGGGACGGCATACTGATCACAGACAACGACCAGTCCGCTGTGAGACATTCACTTTAGCCTCCCAATCAGAAACATCCGTATCTCACTACAATAATCGTCTGGAGTATATACTATACCGAGAGCTCCCACTACAACAGCGTCTGGTGTATATACTATACCGAGAGCGAAGTGTAAAACCTAAGGCGCACTAGATTACAGAAGTCTCATAGCAACGCCTGGCCACCCGCGCACTCGTGGCGCCCCACTCTTTCGCAAATTCGCTCCACAGGATATACACGTCGATGCAAGTAATGTGCACACAGAAGTATATACGGTTCGCAAATAAAGAGTACACAATACTCTTTATACATTCCACAAGTAAAGCGTTTTATACATTTCGTAAATAAAGCGTACACATAAGTATATCCATTCCGCGAACAACTATGTAAATCAACTTCTAATAAACTCCAGACACGGACATGGGATCCAAGCAAAGTACACATAAGTATGTATATTTCGCGTTAGACCGATCTAACTTTAAACGCAACGAATTCAACAAGAGTAGAGTATAGCTGACCAGACATTTCGCGTATGGAGAATCCAACTGCGTGTAAACACAATCTGTCGACAGATGTGCATGCATGCGCACGTGGTGCATTTGTTCTGAGACGGCAAAACCCCTAAGTCGTTCCAAATAAATTAAGACAGATAGCATACGAGACGGCATAAACCCTAAGTCGTTCCAAATAAGTTCAGACAGAAAACATATGAGACGGCATAAAACCTAAATCGTCCCAAATAAATTAAGACAGATAGCATATCTTTATGCGCTTGGATCACTGGAGGATCGGCACCACTTCCATAACAAAGGTGTATAATTCACTTCCTGATTACAAGTGGGGTTTAAGTGATGTTTATAATTAACTTTCCTGATTCTGTCGTGACTATAGTTACGTACGACCCGGGCTATCGAGTAAGGCATAGCAGCTCAGTCTGACACACTCGGTACACTTGAAACTGCAGAACAGACTCAAATATTCAGCCTCGCACGCAGCGAACTACATTTGCCAATACAACATTACCTGCTTATACAGAAATCGAAAGAAGTGCCGGTACAACAACGTCTGCGATGTGTAAAACAAAAGTGCAATCAATCATTGCGGAGTCAAAACGCCCACTACTTCGTTCTTTCACGGAAAGAAAATACTCAACTACCAAATTATGGTACAAGATATGATATGTTAGGTCAATGCATATATGCTGTGTACAGAAAATACGATGTACAAACCGGGTGTATGCAAGTTATAAAAACAAAAATATATTACATTACGCGTAAACATAGATATTTAACAATCCGAAAAAACACATATATATTCATTACTGCGTATAACTGATCCAACCTAAAGTAAATAATATTTCGATTGTAGTATTCCACATATATAGTAAATAGTAAATAGTAAATAATAGAGTATATATATACATATATATATATAAATATATATCACAGATATATATATATATATGAATAGAAATAGAAAAGAAACAGAAATAGACAAAGACATAGAAATAGACATAGAAACAGAATAGAAATGTATACATATATATATATATCAATCTAAATATATATATATAGATATCAATACATATATATATATATAGATATCAATACAT